CGTAAACTTAATACAGAAGAACTGCGGCTCGCACGTTCAGCTTCCAATTTTTCATGCAATTCAACTTCTTCATTCCAATCCTAAATATTATCATATAAATGTAATGTATATGGTATCAATTATGTACAGTTTTCTGCCGAAAATAAATATGAATACATGATTGACATATTTACCAAAATATGGATGGTTTCATTTTTTGTTGGACTAACACCTAAATTCTGTAAACTATTTTTCTTTTCTAGTGCTGTATTACGATCGGATGCATTATTATTTTGCCGTTGCCTTTAAGAAAGAAATGAAAAGATAGTGAATGGAAATACTGAAAATTTATAAAATTATTTTAAACACTTACGTTTGAGTACGATGGAAAGCTGAAGGTGGTGATACTCCCCGACGATGACTATCGGGTGAACTGTGACGTTTATTTGCACTGGATGTTGAAGTAACGGGTGACACTGACGGTGGTGGTAGCATCATTGAACTATCAGCACGACTTAAACTTTCCATACTAGTATACATAGTGCTATTGCTACCACGACGATCATAAGACCTACTTTTGAAATTCAAATAAAAAAGTATAGCATAGTAAAATATGAAATTCATTCCTTAAATATATTTGTATATCGGCAAAAAAAAAAATATATATATATATACCTTTGCATATATTCTTGACTTGGTGTATGAGATCTGGAGCTTGGAGCTGAATACTGATCAGGTGTAACACACCTGAAAATATTTGTTGAACTCTCTATTTCTTCAGGTCTGAGTCTACCTCTACCTCTACTTCGTGCTGGAACTGTATTGGACCAGCTAGGTTGTGGAGGTAATGGGCCAGATGGTGGTAAATTTTGCATAGTCTGTGAATGCTGCATTGCAGGTGGATAATTATAACTTGATGATCCCTTTAAAAAAAAGTACTTATGTTCAAGAATTCAATAGAAATTTGATGTAACTATATTAAGATACTGTAAAATTTACCTGAAATGTAATACTACTGCCATTCCATGTATCTTCTGCAGGCGATGAATTGTTTGGTGGTAATGGTAAACCATTATCCATAAGATATTTCTTCTGTAACCGAGGTGGTAAGTGCTCTATTTTTATATTTTTAGGTAAACTATCTTTTGGACCACCCCATTTGCCTGTAGGTGGTTTGCCTTGAAACTTTTCTGGTTCTACGCTACGTGTATCTCTAGTACGATTAAAATCATTGACCTGGTTCATTGTTGCAAAAAGAGGTTCAGAACCCTATAAAAACAAATACCAAAAAATTAGAAAAAAATACTAGTTACAAAGCATTAAGTACTATATCGCAGTTATCTCCCACCTGTCTAACTTCACGGGAATTATCTTTTCGATTTCCAAAACTTCTATTAGATAGAGGAGAATCAGATCGCCAACGTTCTTCATTCTCATTGCCATGACGATTTCGACGATTACCCGAATATCTTTTCCCATGATCATCTCTGCCTCTATTACCATTATCATTATCTCGGCCACCACGACCACCCGACCGGTTACGATGACTATCACTTTTATGGCTACGATTGGAATGAGAATCACGGTCTTCACTATGTTCTCCGTCTTGATCTCGATCCCAGGCCCCTTGATTGGATGATCTAAGGGATAGCAAAACTAATCTTTAATATCTATCCAGTTATTTGTTAATAGTAAAACAAAAAGCAATTTCATAATATTCACCTATTTGAAATATCCTGTTCAGCCAATGCTTCTTTAACTTTCTTAGGTACATACAATGGTTGCTCTGGCTTTTTAGATTTTCTTCTTGAATCTCCAGAATTACTATTTTGTGAAGAACCTTGTGCCTGTTCAATGTCTGCGGTAGATCTATGGTTAATGTTTAAATCATTCAATTTCTCTGTTACATGTTCAACTTGAGATGATGGTGGACTATTAGAAGATTGGTTAGATCTGTTTAGCTGTGACTGTTTCAAACGATGTTGGACGGAGCTTGGTTTAGGTTTCTCCAATGAGATATTCTCATTCTCTAAATCATCTGTGGATCTACCCGACTTTCGAAGAGGTCCACTTCCAGGCCTGTACAAAGCTTGAGAAGCTCTGTTTCCTCCACCTCGCATTCCTATTGTTCTATCCTTTTCTGATTTAGTATTATCTGAAATTTGTTCAATTTCTTCAAACACATACTAAAAACTATGATATGTATAGATATATATAATTAAAGCATTAAAGTAATAAAGTAAATAAAATAAAATTATAATTATAAATTAAAACATAATAATATAACACAAGAAACCATCTAACAAATGATATTACTTTATATTTAATGTTTAAATACTGTTAATATATTAATATTTAATGAATAGAAAATTTTAAAAAGGTATATATAAGAAATATTAAATTTTTTGTAATAATAACTGATATTAAATAACATTTTACAACAGACAATATAATACATACAACTCATAATTTATTACAATTAAAATATACAAATTTTGTTAGTAAATTTAAAACACAAATTACTGTATAGTTTTTATTACAAATTTCA